ATTTTATGCTTTGAACACCAAGACTGTGATGATCAGATTTAGCAGCCCAGTGTAGGTGATGGCATTTTGTGGTTATTCATATATTCTCCTTCAGAAAGGCTCATTCCAACCAAGCAGAGCTCGATGATAGTCATTCATATTTCATACCAGACTGAAGATGAAAAAGTCTGGAGGTGACACAATATTGCCGCATTACAATCTGGCCATTCATGTCTCATTTTCAGATTTCCCCAGTGTGGTGTAAAAGGAGACCACCCTAGGCTCGGCTGCCTCATTTCTTCTGTGCTGCTCCTATAAATCACATTCTGGGAGAAAAGATGGCTGCCAGGACTAGGGGAGGATGACTATGAATTTGCTTCTGGATTACAATTTGACAGGCAACCTGTGGTTGTTTATAGGGAAGCCTTCAGTTCTCATATTGTTTGGCACACTAATTTATGTTGATCAGTGTGGCATCTGATTATCCAAATTAATGTGATTTTGAAAAGGTGAGCTGGAGAGGAACTGACAGGGGAAACACCCCAGTACCATTGACTCATATCATTTCTAGATTATTTTTACCTGTCTGTGGCTGCATTTGGGGAGGAAGGATCAATCTCTTTACTGAAGGGGCTTTCATCTATGTTCCACCTATCTCCTCATTAATCTGTGAGGGTTTTAAACCAAAAAAAGTTGATAACTAGATAACAAAGTTGTATATATTTTTTTTCAAAAGCCAATTTAAACATTTCATTTTATGTACAATGTTCCAGAAAGAAACATCGCATTACTCTTAAAGGCATTTGGATCCTCGTTTAGAAAGGAGCCACTTCCTGCCTCCTGGAGTGACTGTGATTCTCATTCCCCTCCCCCCCCACCTCAAAGAAGATAAATACTTCTTAAAAGAATACATTGCAAAATAGATGTGTGTGTTCTGGTCCATGTTTTAGCTGAAAGACCCCTGGAAGATTATATTGGGCTGTGGACATTTTACCATCAGAGGCATTTGCAGGAAAATATTTCTCTCTCTTTCTCTCCCTCCCTCCCCTCTCTCTCTTGCCTCCTCCTTTTCATATGGGGCCAGAAAAACTGCCAAGAAATACAATAGGAAAACTGCCAACAAATATAGTATGCAACCATAAGGGAAGGGGGGCACGGGGGAGAGGAAGATCAGGAGGTTGCCTGATTCAGCTTATTAAACCAGACTTTAAAACGCCAACAATCAGCAGTTGTTCACATTCTGTGTTTTGCTCCACAAATACAGGTAACATGGACCCACGGGTATCATGTTTATTCTTAACCAAAAAGGAAAGTTGTGCTTTGATCATAGTTGTGGACTTTGCTATCAACTCTGATACCCAAGTCCCTTCTGAACAGATTGGATTAGTAACCATAAGACTAGACACAGGTCTTTTGAGACATGGAGAGCATGTATCAGGCAGTTTGAATCTGTAATTTCCAACCTTTTGCCTAAAAGTGCCCTTAGTTGAGCGGACTGCATCAAGGACAGTGATATGTGAAGAAATTTGTGTCTTCAGCTTGGGTGGGGTGGGGGAGTAAAGAATGTGATCAAGACATTGTCTTGGGGATCTTTAGAGCAATAATTGATGGCAAAGGCACCATTCGAAAGAACAACAAAGAGACTGACACTATATAGGATTTAAGAGATGATACTTTTACTTGGAAGAAATACAGCAAGTAATTCAGTTTGGATCTTACGCTCAGTACAGTAGCAAGAAAATGCTCTTTTTCCAAAGAGACTGGAGCCCTAGGTAACAATAGATACTCCATGGTCTTTGAAATAGCATAATTGGGATAGGAACATTTGGTTTGATTTTTGTTGCCAGTTTCACATATCTAAATCCTGCTGTTTCTGGAGGAATCTTCAGACTTTGCACATCTGTTTGGAATTAGGCACCTGGCTGAATTATAGTGTGTCTAATGAATGAATTTAGCCTAAAGTTGTGATGAGCAGGAAGGTTGTTAACACTTTCCTTTGAAAAAAAATAGTGTTTGGATTATTTATCAGCTGTACAGAAAGGATTGAAAAAGTTGATGCCATCACAAAATTCTTCCTGATCCTGTTCCATCAGTGTAAATGAGAAAATGCAAGTTGCTAAAATGATTGGCATACGACACCACTTCAAATAAGAATAACCCCCTATAACTTTCACACTACAAAGGAGGCTTGAATCAAAATTAGTGTGAAAACTAAGGAAACAAAACAGAGAAAAGAGGACTCACCATATGGAATAAGTCAACAGAAGAGGTGGCTGAAGGGTGAGGAATTAAATCCATTTCAGAGAAACGACTTTGTAGAAAGAAGGGGCCAAGGCTGAAGTTGCAAAAATGTTGAAGAAGGATGAGAAGAGAACAAGGAATAAGGACAGGAATGAGGCTAATGGGTCTCCCCCAGGGGTGAAATTCAGCCTGTTCTATCCAGCTCGGGCAAACCGGTAGTGGCGGCTGCAGGAGGCTCCGCCCACCCACGTGAACGTCATGACATTGTTTTTTTGTGACAATATTAAGTCTCTGCGTATACCCAGAAGGCTTTGCGCATGCACAGATGATGGTGTGTGCGAGCGAAGCACGCAGGTGCGGGGCACACACACATTTGCAAACCGGTAGGGAAGGTAAGTGAATTTCACCCCGGTCTCCCCTGTCTTGGATTCTTAGATGACATGCTACATGTCATCTTATGTGGGTTGACTCAACGTGGAATGCTTTATAGCAGTATCAAAATACATCTGCGTGCACATACATATGGATATTGGCAGAGGTGAAAGCCACTCACGGCAGACACCGATACTTCCAGACTTCCTGCGGAAAAGGATATCTGGTGACTGCTGAGTAAGGGAAAGATAGGGGAAAGGGTGGTCTGTTGGGATAAAAATCGCATATTAAAAACACATCAATCGTGCTTGCCAGTGTGATCCACAGTGCATCTTTTGGTTTAGCATTTCTGTTCTACTCTAAACCTGTTATCAGCACAGATTTACAAGCATATATTCTTTGTTACAGTGCCACTATTTTGCTACCCTGAGGGCAAGAAAGTGCTAATGATGCTAACTACCTTGCCTGCTTGCTTTGACTTTAGCATGAAGGGTGTTAACGGAGTGTTCTCAGAAGTACTGAGTTCCTCTGCGCCCCCCCCCGCCCGCCAGCTGTCACAAGCTGCATGACCTGATGGTTGGAGAGAATGCAGCCATCATCACTTTTGCCACTCTCCTCTCTACTGAGATGCTTGCCTGGGCATGTGCTCTTGAGTGACAAAAGGAGGCCCTTGTATATGGTTAGAGGCATTAGTTCTACATTGGGTTAGCCTTTTGCCAAAGGCTTTGCATCGATACTTTTCTTCTCACGCTCTGTGTTAGAAGAACGGCTCTCCCCTGCTTTCATGCAGAGCACAGGTTCATACAGCGGCCACAGCGGTCGTGATACATTGGTTCTGGCAAACTATTTTGGCCCCAAGATGACTAAATTGTTTCAAACAGAGGAAACATCTGCATTGTTTCTTTAATCCTAGTTCCCCTGGAATTTGAGGGAAATGTCATAGGATCTTCAAACAATGCCTTACCTGAAATCCCAGGATTCTTAATCTCTAAATTGTTTAACTTTTACTTTACAGTCAGTGTTTGTTAGGTTGCAGTCTACTTAAGCCACATCAAAGGGATATATGTGAAGATACATATAAAATTTCTGTATTCCCCCCCCCCCAAAAAAGCATAAGAGAACATTATGTGAAAAGTTGATTGTTTGAAATGCAGATATCACATTACAAACACCAGCAGCGCCAGCAATAAAAGCTCTCTTGTTGTCTGGTGAGATATATTTGAACTACCTTTTTAGGGGTTCCAGTTGTAGAAGGGCCCCATGCTTGAGCCTCCTCAGTAATGTTCTCTTGCCTCACCTCTGGAACAGCCTGCCTCTAGAGATTTGAACTGCCCCTTCCTGAACATGGCTTGGTAGACAGCTATTTAGGAATGTTGCTCTTCAAATGATGACACGTCAGGGCCTTTTTGCTTTTATGGTTATGCCATCCATTTTCTGTGTTTTAATGGTATGCTGTTAATTATAAATTGCTGGACTCTTTGGAAATGGAGCAGCATATAAATTGAAGTAATAAAAGAAAATATGGGGACAATTTCTTGTATAATTTTTTTTTGGTCTTTGTATTAAACAAAGGATAAAACAAAAATTGCTGCTACTTTCCCGAGCTATTAAAAAGTAGAAGGAAAAGGGAAAAAATGGTCCATATGGTAATTAAGGATTATGACCATCTGGTAAGACAGGAGTTTGTTCAAATAATTCTGCAACATACGTTGCATCAAGTCTTATTCTTATTAAAATGTTTTTATTTGTCTGCACATGGACGTAGAAGAGAAGTGACTGGCATTTTTTCTTGGACGGATTATAATTCCATGGGAGAAACCAAAGCATTGTACACCAACAACAGTCTTCACATTAATTTGCTGATTTGAATCTGCATTGCCAAAATTTACTGGAGACAATAATCATTACTGCTTACGCCCACTTTGTAAATATTGAAACTCAAATATGAATGGGTAAAATCTGTAGTTCAAGTTATTTTTGTTAGCATGCTCTATTTTAGGCAAATCCGATCTAGATTTTAGGAGGGTTTTGAACATCTTGCACTTCTGGGAATTAAGCCAAGGTGCTTCAGATTTGTCTGTTCAAAACCAGAAGTAGTTCTTATTTAATTGATTTGTCTGGAATTGTATTTTTAAGTTGCTGTTGCGATACAGTAGGACTGAATGGAGTTTCATCCATCCAGCTTAGCACTGCCAATTGCACAGGAGAAAAAAAAATGCTTTTTCTAAACATGGTGCAGAGTTGAAAATTATTCTTAACCAAGGCAAGGAATTCAAATAGAAAAGTAATTATTCCACTATTTTGTATTATTACATAATCAATTGCTCATATTTCCTATCTGTTCCTTTTTATTTTGTTCAGTTTTACACAGTGAAGCAAGTATAATGTTGAGAATGTCTCTTTCTCAGGTATTTCAGGCAAACACTGATGCTTCCGAAGTGGTTCTGAACAAAATCCATGCTCCAGTGCTGACTCGGTTTGTGCGGATCCGTCCCCAGGTTTGGCATAGTGGAATCGCTCTTCGACTGGAGCTCTACGGCTGCCGAATTACAGGTGTCTATCCTTTTCTGGCATTAAGAAAGACTCACCGTTTTCTGCCTTTGCTCAACCCTACAAACTAACCTAGTTGTTAGTGTCACAACTATGGTAGCTTCCTATGCAGAGAAATATTCTGAGATGGGCACTTCAGATTATTTCATGATGCTGTAGAATTATAGTTTTGGGAAAGGGATAGATATCACTTAGCCCCAAACCCCCACAAACCAAGCCAGCCTAATCCACCGACTACATTCCCTTTATTATTTATTTATTTATTTATTTTATTATTTGGATTTATATGCCGCCCTATCTCCAAAAGGACACAGGGCGGCTCACAACAATAAAACACATACAGTCCAATCCTTCCTTTAAAAATACCCAATAAAACTATAAAACTATAAAAACCATTAAAATCCCCTCTAAAACCCCTTCAGTCCAAGCCGGCCAGGCGAAATAGCCATGTTTTAAGGCCATGGCGGAAAGAGCGAAGGTCAGGGGCCACCCGGAGCTCCAGGGGGAGCTGATTCCACAGGGTAGGTGCATCCACAGAGAAGGCCCGCTCCCTAGGGGTCGCCAGCCGACATTGTCTGGCTGACGGCATCCCAAGGAGGCCCTCCCTGTGGGAACGCACTGGGCAATGGGGAGCTGTCGCTGGCCGCAGATGGTCCGCCAAATACCCCGGGCCTAAGCCATGTAGGGCTTTATAGGTGATAGTCCTCACCCTTTGACCATAATTGATGCCAAAATGACAGTTGTAAGTTATGCTGCTTGTTAAGGTGTCCATACCCAAATTTATGACCTTTTTTGCAGCAGTCATTAAGCAAATACATTGTCTGCAATGAGCATTTGCTGCCTGAAACCAGAAGTAAATATCGGTTTCTGGCAAAAAAAACAACAACACACACACATTGTAAATTGCAGTCACATGACCACGGGGGAGGGGAGGGGGAAGCCATCAGATTGAATGTAGGTCATAAGTAGCACCTAGGGAGATCCATCATAACTTCGAATGGTCACTAAGTGACTGGTTGTAAGTCAAGGACTATCTATACTAAGACCGTGCCTCTGGAGGGAAGTTCTCCATGAAACTTGATTAGTAGGCACGAAAGACTTACCAAAAGGATCACAATAGGAACCCAGTTTACAAGTCTTTTTCCCCCTCAAAGATTTCCTGCATTTTTAGAGTTTCTAAAAGCTGTGTGTTCTTTTAGAAACTCTAAAAGTGCATTTGTCTCCTTAAATTATCCTGAAATGCATTTTTCTTCAACCTGCATACTTTAAAAAATGCAAATGCAGCTGCTGAGAAAGGAAATGATATTTCATATGGTAATCAGGGAGAGAGGTATTAAAGCTTTCTTTATCTGCTGTGGCCCTAGTGCAAATTGCTACATCAAAGCTTTATATTCTGTGGGAAAATTCCCATTCCAGTGGCTGCAGCTTGTTTTTTTTTTTTTTTAATGTGAAGATTTATTAGGGTGGTGCACAAGTTTGTGTCCGAGTCAGCCCAGCAATACAAGGATATGCATACTGGGTTTGTGATCTTCTTAAATCGCCCTTGTGACAAAGGTTCTGTTAGCCTCATCAGGCACTAGGTTTTACCTCATTACCAAGTAGCCCACAATCAAAAGCTACCATTTTAGGGAACACAAAATTTGTATTCACGTTCTCAGATGCTGTTTTGTATCCGTTCAACCTTTGTACCAGGAGAATAGTGTCATGGCTTTATTGCATCACTGGGGCTTTCCAGGCAGACATGCAGTCATACGGTATAACTAGGCATTGCTGCTAATCAGTATTTGGGAGTACTTGGCCCAGCACTTAAAAGTTTGCTCAGTGGCTCTGCATTTCCTAATCTTTTTCTTGGAGGACTGACACTGAGGTTTGGAAAATGCCCAGGGTTTATATTGGGTTTTGCACAACACGATTGTCCAGTACAAATGTTGGAGGAGAAGGAGAAGTAATTGGCCTATGCAAATAATCACTTGAGGCTGCAGTCATGAAATGGTCAGGGATTTAATGACCCTTTACCATAACATTTTTACCTGATTTGGTGAAAATCAGGTAAATCTTGCATCTTGATTCTTTTTTTTTTCTTTTTTACATAGCAAAGAGATTTCAAAGGGCTTCTTAGCTCAACTGCCATTTTGAAATCTGGAAATTCTGGGTCAGGACATAAGTAACGTTGCAGTCTCACTGAGATGCTTATATACTGTACAATAATTGCTTTTCTTTCCCCTCACCCCCACCAATTAGTTGTGGCTTCACATGCCACAAGTAAATTTACATGTAAAAAGAGAACATTAAGCCTAGCCATCATTTGAATTGGTTTAACAGGATGGCCTCCAGTTATGGTTTATCTCTCATTTGATTGGATTTAATTGATACCTATTTTTAAAAGAGCTGGAATAGCAACCAGAATGCTATTACCGGATGAAAGTTTAGCTGGAAGCAGAGACCAGTTTGGATTAAGAATTTTTGGGTAAGGTGTATTTTAAGCCACCGTGGAAGGGCCCCCGTAACCTATGAAAGCGGGAGTCCTTAATACTCTCTGAACTTGTTTGTTTTCTTGCAGACATTTCATTAGGTAACATCTTATTGGTACCTATGAAAGCTGTTATAAAGTAAAGCAAAGATGCCTTAAATGCTTTGCAATCAACTTCAGTACCTAGATGGCAGTGAGAAATTATTCTTCCTATGTCATTGCAGAATTTTTAGCCCCCACCTGATTTTGCATAATAGCCATTTCTACGCTCACTGCTGCTCCTTTTCATACAGATTCACCCTGTTCCAGTATGTTGGGGATGCTTTCAGGACTTATCCCAGACTCTCAGATCTCAGCTTCTTCTACCAGAGAATATCACTGGGTTCCTAGTGTGGCACGCCTAGTCAGCAGCCGCTCAGGATGGTTCCCACGCATCCCTCAAGCCCAGCCTAGTGAGGAGTGGCTGCAGGTAGATCTGGGCCTCCCGAAGAATGTGAAAGGAGTGATTATCCAAGGAGCCCGAGGTGGAGACAGCATCAATGTGGCGGAGGCCCGAGCTTTTGTGAAGAAGTTTAAAGTGGCCTACAGCATGGATGGGAAAGACTGGCATTCAATACAAGATCCCCGGACCATGCAGCCAAAGGTAAGACCTCTTAGTTGGAATGTAATAGGGAGCTACTGGGCACTGGTACTTTTTTTTCCTTTTATTTCTTCTTCCTTTCTGGTGAAATTTATTATAGCAATAGCACTTAGACTTATATACAGCTCCGTAGTGCTTTACAGCTCGCTAAGCAGTTTACAGAGGCACATATTGCCCTTAACAATCTAGGTCCTCATTTTACCGACCCCAGAAGGATGAAAGGCTGAATCAACCCTGAGCCAGTGAGAATTGACTGCCGAACTACAGTTATTATGGCTGCTTACATCAGTGGGAGCCTTTGCTTCAGGAGACATGACCACTTTGAAGGGTCCTTCTGCAAACCACAATCCTACCTGCAAAATCATATGTTTCACACTTGTCTCAGTATAAAAACAATCTTATTCTATTTTGGTGATTAGTGGTTATGCAGTAGTTCTCAATGAGCTGCTTAAAGTTGAAATGATTGAAGTAGCATAAAACCATTTAAGATGAATGTGTGTTTCAAAAGGATGTGGGAAAGAGGAGGGTTCTTATCTATGAATGTACTTCCTCCTCCTCCTCTCCCTTCCTTTCTTCCTATTTAGCAGTAGGATCATCATCATCATAGTGGAAAAGCTGGAACACTTAGAAGCTGGAAAGTGTCATCTATTTTTCACTTCTTTCTCTTTTCCCTCATATAGCAAATTTACACATGGGCCTTTTCATTTCAGATTGCACGTGAAGGCACATGTGGCTGAATATGTCTTTAAATGCCCAACAGCAACCGTTGACCACTTACTGTGCATAGAAAACCAGATGTTAGAAATAAGTATCATTGAGCCGAGCAGCAGATGTTGGGGAATGCTCTGTTGAGAGATTAGAAGTCCTGATGTACAAGACAGTCTCCTCTGCTTCCCCGGGCTCTTCTTCATGTACTTTCCAAAAAGTGCATGAATCTGCCCGATCACCAGTCTTGAAGTAGAGTTTTACTGCTGCTCCAGGGTTTGTTTTTTGGGGAGGTCTGTGCAAAGGTGCTGGGTTAAAAAATAACAACTTGTCTTTCTACTCAGTATCTCAGGGGTGGGGGAGGTGCCTCCCTTTTTCCCCCTGTCCAACAAGTGTTTCTCTGCTTGACTGGGAGAATGGAAAATGTAGGGCTGAGATTACATCCATATCCAGCATTCCCTACGCCTTACCAATAATTCTATCGTGCTATTGTAGGAAGTGAAATCAGGGTGTCTTAATGGCTTGGATAGACAGAACAGGACAGACAGCAAAGTAGTATCTGGTTAGAAATGATGGCTTTTTAAAAAATGAACCAATAGAGGGAAGAAACTGAAATGAGCACCGCCCCCTAGAGTTGGACATGACTGGACAGGGAAAGCTTTGCCTTTTTTCTTTACAGTTTTTTTTAGCAAGAGTATGGCTTAGTCTCGATTACTTCTCCCCCACCAATGTCACCATTTCTGCAAAGAACGTTTGGCACAGCCCTGGTTTACTGTATCCTGCCTTGTCTCTGTTTTATCTCCTCAGTGAGAAGTAGGGCATTGTTCTTGTACGATTCAGAGGAAGGTGAGGTCTTATCTTTATCTTTATCTTTATCACAAATGGTCTATAGAGTATAGACCATTTGTGATAAAAATGGCCTGCTTTAGAGCCCATATTTGGGTTGTTCTTATTGAAGCTTCTGCTTCATTTTTCCAAATTTTCCAGTGACATTCTTACTTGTTAAGGATTTAAGAGATGAACTTTTGCACCACTGTTAAAACCTTAGTTCAGGAGGCCCAAGGCTCTAAATCATAGACAAACACAAAGTCTAAGTTTCTGCTAGCCAATTACTTGAATTAGTACATATGGTATCAGAGAGAGGTATCTTTTAGAACTTGATGGAAAAATGTGTGAGGCGGGTGAGGAGATGAAGACCATTAACAGCCAAGTCAGAAGTCAGTAGTGTTTACACAAGAAGTCAGTAGAGTTATACCAGATTTGAGTCAGTATATCTGGTATCAACATCTAGCTAAGAGGAGGCATGTCCTGTGCCAAAGCACGCTGTGTGGTTTGTCAGATGGACTACATCCCGCTTGGCAGCAGCATCCTGCTCTCAGGCATGGAACTTTTCAGTTGGCCACAAACTCTGGCTAGCAGAGGAAGGAGTGAGATGGAGACAGAAGGAAGGGAGAGTAATTTTGAAACTGAAGCACCATATCCTGTCTCTCAATTACTTTGCAGATCAAATGTATTTGAAAATAACTGACTTAGATTGTACCAAAGGTGAAAAGGCCTTATTATCTTTCTCCCTTGCTGTTTTTTATTACTATAGTCAACCACCAAAAAGTATGCTTAAGCTGTCGTTTTTATATAGCATGCCACCAGAGTTAATACAGGGCGATTGAGATTTGTTGGGGATTTTTCATGGATTTTGTTGTACCTTGAACTGAATGTAAGTCAAAATCATCAAGTCAAGGCTGCAAGTTTCCCATGCACAGAAGATCCCCATTTTCAGAATTTGCAATTGCAAAGACATCTTTAAGTATGTTCATCAGAATGATCTCTTAGCTCTTACCTTTACTACTTGGAGATCTAAGCCCATGTATGAAGATCTAAGTCCATGTATGAAGATCCATAAAACAGTTGAGGATTAGGAAACAGGGATTATGTGCCCCTCTCTCTCTAAACTACACTTTAACTAGTGTACTAGATACTATAGTTGTACTAGATACTATACTATCTAAGAAGAGTTTAGGATTTTAGTAAACTATATAAATATGATGTGAATATATATAGCCTGAAGCTACATTAGAAGGATTCACACGCATAAAGGTTTGAAACAGGCTAGAAATTACGCTACATCCCACTCCTAACACTTTTTTGTTTGCATTTATTATTTGGTTTACACCATATTTCTACTTATAATGGTTAACAAAACTTAAGAAGCAACCACAACATATGAGCCTTGCTGGCACAGTGGTTAGAGTATAGTACTACAGGCTGTTGATCACCAGCTTGTCACTGGCTGCCTGCAATTTGGCAGTTCAAATCTCACCAGGCTCAAGATTGACTCAGCCTTCCATCCTTCCGAGATCGGTAAAATGAGGATTGTTGGGGGCAATATGCTGAGTCTGTAAACCTCTTAGAGAGGGCTGTAAAAGCACTATGAAGTGGTATATAAGTCTAAATGCTCTATTGCTATTAAAAAATAGGATTAAGTTTGATAAAAGAGATACTATCTTTGTATTTTTTCTGAATTGTAAGAGAACAGAACACAGGAGACTGCATTTCAAGTTCTTTCCTGTGGAGCAGAAAAATGGGGGCATCTTCCATAGGATTTATCCTGCACATCATAACAAATGTTGTATAACAAAAGAGGTCATTGTGAGCCAGACAGGCTCAAAGCTATTCAAGTTTTGAAAACACCTCAAAAGCAATTGGCAACCAAAGCAGATCTTTCAGTAGAGAAGTCATATAATCCCTGTAACTTGTATTATTAGTTAGCAGTCTACTGTAAGTGTCACTTTTTGCTCCACTTGCAGCTTCCAGACATTTTTCACAGGTGATTTCACGTAGAACACACTCCAGTAATGAGAAATGACATAACCAAGATCTGACCAGATCTTGCCCATTGACTTGTTTGTTTAATTTATAACATGCCTTTCTTCCAGAAGCTCAAGGCAGTATTGTAGAACTCCACCCTCCAATTTACTCCTACAGCAGCCCTGTGAAATAGATTGGCTCAGAGTCACCCAGGGAGCTCCCCAGGCTGAGGATGCACACAAACATCTGTCTCCCTATGTCTAGTTCAAATCTTAACCATGGTTACACTGTAGCTCATATCGGCTGAAGTTGAATCTATCAAACTACACTTTCCCCTAGGGTCTCCACTCTTTAGTTGGTTCACCTGAGGAAGATCCACATTGTGCTGCATTTCTTAAAATCCAAGATAAAGGAAATTTCTGCTCCAGGCTAATGTAACTGAATTATAATCAAAGTAACCTAAGCTCACCAGTAGTTTTGCAGATGATATTGTTTACCTAAATGTTTAGTGTTCACTTTGTTCTCCTATGGCAGCAAAATTCATCTTTCAGATTTCCAGGAAAAAGATTGTAGAATTTCCCAAGATAGTTCAACCATTGGTACATTTAAGACAGAAAATGTTTTCTGATAATCTTGGCCAGCTTTGGTATAAGATGTATTTCTTGGTTGGGTATTTTTCCTTTTACCTTCTCTAATAGAGGTAACATTCAATGAATGTATTGTCATTTATTCTTGAAAAAGCAGCTTCAGTATTGCTTCACCTCAATAAAAAGCAATCTGCTGACAAGATGATACTGACAGCTTGCATTCTTAAATATTACAAGCTTCTGTGGTTTGGTCTAATATGTCAGCAATTGATGAAAAGCTATTAATACTATGAAAATAGGAATGTGCTACACTTTGAATTCAAACTGAAAGGTGCCCTGGAGTGGTATATACTTATGTTGGTGCTTTCTAAGCTCACACAGTAGCTACACGATCCCAGGAAAATCTGCTTGTGGGATAAGGAGATGCTAATAGCCATACATACTCAGAAGCACCTATTTGCTACCTGTGGTGCTTTCTTAATTCAAACACATGTTTTCCATAGATTGTACAGGTGGCTTGTGAAGTCAAAGAAAGATGCAACTTCTTTCAGGAGGTTGCTGACACCTAAACCTTACCTCCTCTGAAATATATTTTTGAATTTGGATGCAGAGAACATCACATCCTTATCTGAAAGCTAACAAAAAGATCCTTTTTCAAGTAGCTTGAGTTTAAGCCATTATTTTTCCCCCAGCATTTTTCTATTTTGTCTTTTCAATTGTCCTTTTGTAACCAATTACATTCTTTAGGTTTTCCCAATTCATTACAATGGGACTGATTGTTGCTTCATACACAGGTGTCAATCTCGCGGTGTCAGGTTGCCATCATGTGACATTTCACAACATTTTTCCCATTCACGGGGCTGGGTGTGGCCTGCCCGTGATGCATCTGACACGCAGGCCAATAGTTTGACACTCCTGATTTACTAGAATAAAAAAATTCAAGTAAATTTGAAAGAATAACCAGTCTCCCAAAGAGTTCTTTTACTATCTGTTTATTTTTTTTAAATTGTTTTTTGGCTCTAAACCTAGAAGAGTCCTATTTAACCTCTGTTTCTCTAAGATATTTGAAGGAAATATGCATTACGACACCCCTGAAGTTAGAAGATTTGATCCTGTTCCTGCACAGTTCATCAGAGTTTACCCAGAAAGATGGTCTCCAGCAGGGATCGGGATGCGATTAGAAGTCCTTGGGTGTGACTGGACTGGTAAGAGCTCTATGAATCTATTTCTTGCCATGAATCCTTCAGCCATTTTGGTCCTGAGAATGTTTGCATAAAAGTTTCTATGTGAGAATCAAACTGATGACATTGCACTACAAATATTTTCCTTTCCCCACTCTTCCTGGTGAATAATTCTTGCCCTGCTTAAATGAGTAAAAATGTTTACTCTATGTATTCCTGTGATGATAGTGAAGCTCTCTTTCAGCTTTATGTTTTCAGGATGACAATATTAACTATGAAAATCCTTAATAAAAATGTCTTTGATAGCATTTTATTATTTTCATTGCTTATTCTCTGCCTATTAGGGTTCATCAGTTGCTGTATATTCTCCTTTCTGAACAATCTTCAAGTTTTGTATATGACTGGCTATGGATGTTCGGACCGCTTTCCTTTGTAAATTTATGCCTAACTTCATAGCTTATTAGGCTGTGGGACACAAATTCAGTGTTGATAGCCCAATAGCACCTTCCTCAAGCAAATAATAATACCGTATTTTCTGGAGTATAAGACGCACCAGAGCTTAGTTTTTGGGGAGGAAAATACCCAAAAACCAGATATTCATCTGGCTAGCATCCTTAGTCTGGTCAGCTTCAGCACATTTATCCCCTGCTTGAGGATAAAAAACAGCTTCTAAAGCACAATTGATCTTTGGAGAGAGAAACAATGAGAAAAGCAGGCAAACCATGGAGATTGCTTCACTCGCTAGAGCCTCCTTAGGGTTGAAAAAAACCACACCACAGCTGAGAGTCGGAGGGAGCAGGCAAAGCGCTTCATTGCTAGCACCGCACCTCGTTAGGGCTGAAAAAAAGCTTCACAGCTGAGAATCATAGGGAGCAGACAAAGGGCGGAGATCACTTGCTAGTGCCTTGTTAGGGCTGAAAAAAAGCTTTGAAAAAGCTACATTCGGAATATAAGCCGCAGCCAGTGGTGGGTTTCAAACATTTTTACTACCGGTTCTGTGGGCATGGCTTGGTGGGCGTGGCATGGCTTGGTGGGCGTGGCTTGGTGGGCATGGCAGGGGAAGGATACTGTAAAATCTCCATCCCCACCCCATTCCAGGGGAAGGTTACTGCAAAATCCCCATTTCCTCCCAATCAGCTGAGACTTGGGAGGCAGAGAATGGATGTGGGCGGGGCCAGTCAGAATTTTTACTACCGGTTCTCCGAACTACTCAAAATTTCCGCTATCGGTTCTCCAGAACTAGTCAGAACCTGCTGAAACCCACCTTTGGATGCAGCCAAATTTTCAGCCTCTTTTAGGAGGGAAAAAAGTGTGTCTTATACTCCGAAAAATACAGTATTTTTTTCCAAATGGCATTCAGAGTGCAGATTAAAAGAGGAATATAAATTTTCTTAGTTTTTCCTTCTCATTTAGATCCTCCTTCCCACTGCTTGGTGCCAGGACGTTCTTATTTGTGGTTCCTAATCATCTGAGTTGTGGAGAGCAGGCATTCTGAATCTCAGCATGCACACAAAAATTTAAGCTTTCCCATCTCTACCAATGAAATAAGAGCAGCAAGAGGGCCCATGTGTGCATGTGTAGAATAATATATATGAGTGAGCATATATATTATCAGGGCTTAAGATGGGGAGGGGAAGGAGAAGGAATGTATACAAGAAGAAGAATGGTATGTAATGGTGGCGGTGGTGGTAATATTCTAATGCCTGCACCCATCCTGCACCATTGAGTTGCACTTTTGTGTAATTCTCAAAACTGATGACTCTGTATGTCTGTTTTAATTATTGCCTTGCTCTGATTTGATGCTATGTTTTGTGATATCCTTTTATGTTAATTCATATGCCCAGCAGCATACATTAGGAAGAAGTTCAGTATAATTAACAGGAACATCTCAAAAACTAGGGAGGCTCAGCATGAGATATCTGTACCACAAGGTTAAACTCTTATATTTCAGAATTCTTGAGAGAGAGTCCAATTATCTGTCAATCTAAGGAATCAAAACGTTACACATATGATTTTATAAAGAAACTGCTTATTCTTCCTTTTGATGTGTAATCATAAAGTATAAAAACCGTCAGCTGGATTTAGCCCTCTAGCTTCCAAGCTTAGCTGAAATGACAAAAAGTGAAGCAGAAGCTACCTCTACCAACTAAATCCTTTTACTGCTGACTGTTAGAGTTAGAAAATTATACTTTCTCTTTTATTTTGTTAAGATGCATCTAGCGTTCAGTCTGCTTTCCAGATGTCACTGGTAAAAAAGGTTTGATTTCTGATTGGAAACCACATCTGTAAAAAGCTTGATTGTATAGATTGGCTTGGGCTGTACAAACTTCCAAAGAAGTAGTTCCCTCACTGGATTGTTACTATCTTTCAATAAATCAACTGTCTGATCAGTGGTGACATTCAAGTTTTTTCCCTACCGGTTCTGTAGGCGTGACTTGGGGGGAGGGCTGTGACTGAGTGGGCATGGCCAACTCGATGTCACTCACAGCCACGCCCACTCAGTCACATGACACCCCCTCCCCCACCAAGCCACGTCCATATAACCCAGTAGGAAAAAAAAATTGAATTTCTGCCTACTTATTTTCTGCCCAGGCCTGGCCTAATCTGTCAAAGGCCTCCTGTTCTCCCTTCGCCAGTCCCATTTCTCCTCCTTCATAGGCCTTGATCCTAGCCCCACTTCCTCCTCCATGACCGCCTCTTTCTTTGGGCTTACCTTCCTCCTGTGGTGGCTGGTGGCAGGCAGAGGCAAGCTAGGGCTGAGCCGTCGCCACTGGACTCTCCGCCAGCCTGCATCTCGTCCCCCTTGTCGCAAGATGCCTGCAGCAGCTGCTTCTTTTTTTTTTTGGTGCGGCTGGATGCTTCTTGCGCCAAAAAAGAGATAGCGGCTGCGGGCTTCTTGCAGCAAAAAAAAAATTACCGACCTCCATCCGCTCCACTTCTCTAACCTGCCACCGCCGGCACCCTGTTCTATATACCAGCCACGCACATGAACCCCATTCCCTGCTGTGAGTATTTATAAAATAAATACACACATACATTTTTGGAACAGAAGAAGTCTTCTGATTCAATAAACTTACAATTGGCAAAAATGTCAATATTCTGGCCAGACTCATCAAGATGGCCAATGTATGTCTTGCTTAACATTATTTCAGACTGCAAATTGGAGGCTCATATGATTAAGTGGTCTTTCATCTAAATGTTAGGTGTCTAGAAGAAAGACTATAGTCTAATCATATGCCCATTAATGCTGTTGATAGAAATGCTTTTGCTGGGAAGCACTAAGTTGAATGCCTTTCAATCTACTGTCAGAACCAGTACGTAAAGCCTTAGGTTGATCATCAGTTTGCAATAATGGAGAATATCTGTAGCTTGGTGTAGGATGTTACCTAGCCTGGTAATGAATCGTTCGGAAACCAACCCACAAGCTCGGAGAACGAACCTTCACCCTTGATCATCAGTTTCAGACTAGTATTTTTTTTTTACTTGAAAGAAAGACAAATCAAATCTAGATCAAGAATGGACTAGACTAGACTAGACTAGACAACACCAGTTTAGGGTCTTCATATCTGCTAGTTGCTCATACCACACCTCATCTCATAAAACCATTAATTGAATGCTTTTAAACCAATTTTTGGATACCTTTTTGAAGAACATGCTTATTTGCAACTTGGTGGTAGATTTTTTTAAACCCTAAAAGACTATGAGTTATGGTGGTACTTGTTTCTCTTTGTTGCCTTAGTAACGTCTTGTTAAATTATTTAAATATGCAGTAAATGACCACTTATGGTGTGACTTGCATGTTTGACCTTTAAGCGATCTGTTTCTGGAGCTCTTCAGTAATAAGACCTGAAGTACCTCTTACAGAAACTTGTGCCAGGAGCATTTGGCATTCTAGCTGCTTGGTAGGAAGAAAATTGAAACATTAGGTCAACAGCTGGCTTGTTTCAAGGGCCTGCCAACATTTTTTCCCTTCTGAAGATTGACAAATATTAGCTCGTGACTGGTCCTCTCTCCTTTGAACTTGCAAACATCTGGTTTCCATTGCTTGACGGCTTTGTAACAGGATCCACAGCTGCCTCTTGCAGTACATACACTGCCCGGCAGGAGGGATACTATCTTTTGCATATGTTCCATTCTTAACAAATATTGTCTCTCCTACTGTTGTGGTAAGTTTGCTTTATTCTGCTATGAAATCTGTACAACTCTGTTGACCATATATGACACTGCAAAGCTTCTAAATTACTCCATCAGAGGATGCAGACACACTATGGGGTTTTCATGTTCAAAGATCACTCTCAAAGTTATGTTCCTGTTGTAAATCTTTGAGTACAAAAGGGAAGGGTTTAATGCATTTGATGTTCAGCTTTGGATTTCTTGGTTCCCCAGATATTTTTAATAACCATTTTGTTCAATTCCTTTTCATGTAAGCTGCTGTTAATACCCTTGAAGATGTATGACTGTATAACAGATCTGAACTTATAAATCATACAGCTCTGAAGTTGTGTAGTATTTTGTTGAAAGCCTGAGAATTATTTTGTACTGAGTCACATGCTGAACAGCTATTTAGACTTGGCACGAAATAATCAGATGAGGTTTGCCAAGTAGCAAATTCCTGAACTCTCAGTTTGACCAAGGTGTCAGAATCTATCTGTGTTATCAGTCTAAATAAATCCACTGCATGATGAAGGCCTCTTCACTAAAGGTTATGAACTGTAATCTATCATGCTGGTCCAATTGCTAGATAGATGCTTTTAGATTTCTCAGTCTAAGGCTAAGAGAGGGATTGGCCCAAATTGCCCAGCCAGCTTCTATTGCTAAGGGAGGACTACAACATGAAACTCTTCTTCCTCCCTCCCTCCCTCCATAATATGCCCACATAACATCCTAACCTTACTGGATTGATCTCAACAGATCGAGCAAATTTCTGCCAAATAGTAACATATTTGGTAAATGATAGTAATAATAGTAAATGATATTCCTCATTTAGAATTTGTGTTCGTATATCGTATCTGTGAACTTCATGATAACAGTGATCTCATAGAGTCTAGCATATGATATTGTACAGAACGTTTCTTTAGAAGGTAAAATGGTTCTCTGTAATGCAACCTCATTATTTTCTTTCTTTAAATTGAAGGGGCAAACTTATTATGTAAATTATTACAGATCTTATTAATTAATGACTTAAATTGATCTTGACACTTACTCTTAGGGAGTTTCCTGGAGTGGTGAGCTGTACAGCCAAACGTAATCATGTGGTTGTCTACAAAAAGCCACAGAACTTTAGAAGATCTTCTTGTACTTCATAGATATGCCATTTGAGGTGTTGTGTGACTTGTTCTTATGTACTGGCTCATTTGAACATATGTGTGTGCTTTCTCTGTGCCGTATTCCTTTAATGAAAGAAAAAGGTATTATTCCTGACCTCAGTTTTCTTAGAACTGCAGTAAATCTCTTTGCCAGTTCAAATAAAAACCAGTAAGACTACAAGCCTAAAAAAGATTGTTGACCACCAAACCCAAAGATGAAAGAATTCTTTATTTCCTTTGGATCCATAAATCAGCCTCTAGAAGGCACTTGAGCTATGTTGATATCTGTGGCATGTGGGAAACTTAATTGCCTTTTGTCCATTACTTTATTATCCTGCGCATAAGGGAACTTTTCTATTAATTTTATGACTTGCTTGCTGGGAGTATGAATTCACTGCTTGGTTAGAATTCATCTGGCAGAGTTTTTTCCTCTTTTTTTTTTAGTTCTACTTGATTTCCAGTGCAGACTTCATATGCTTGGTTCATATTTGCAAAGGTATATGTCCGCATGGTGTTTTCAGAGAGACAACATAATTACTCATCTATGAGTAATTGCTTCCCTCTTTTCCCATTGCCTTGTGGATCATACGCAGCTGTGGTTCTAATGGTCTTTGTTACCACGACCTTATGTTGCGTCAGATGCAAAGTGCTGTTCTGAAACACAACGGCCTGGAAAGGAGCACAGACAGTCTTCAAGAGCACCAGGCACATGAACGCAAGGGATCCAAGGTAGACTAATCTCAATCTTCAAATTTGGACAGCAAATTAGGAGCAGCTGCAAGCTGGTTGTGTTGATCCATGAATATAGCTCCCTTGGCATACACCAAGAATTCTGTTAATCCATACATTTGGCCACATAATCTTCCTTTTCTCGATTGCTGTGTATCCCTGTGTTCCGTATGCTAGTTGTTTGTAAGAAACAGTTTAGCAGAACCACTGACTGAAAGTCTCAGGATAAGAAGTTACAAAATAAGAATATTCACTGCAAAAAAGAGACTTTTATGAGGGTTTGGATACATTCCTTGAAGCATTAAACCAGTAATGTTTTATAACATCTACAGATTAACTGATTTGATTACCATACAAAACAATCTACGCCATCAATATATAATCTTGAAATAAGAATATTTATATACACGGAATTTTTGGGAGAGGACAAAAGAAAAATAAAAAGGTAGAAATGGACTATATTTCTACAGTCTCAGAAAGAAAGAAATCTTTGAAAAAGAGAGAGATTTTAAATATGCAAGATTAAATTATATATACCGGAGAGTTCTTTTTGTGTCAGTTGACATCCCTGAGATTTGGAGGTATTGCTGAGGGCTGTTGCAAATCAGCTGGTGGGAAAAGGTTTGCTCATTCACAAAATGTCATCCATGAGGGGCAGTTAAATTGGTTAAAAACCACCGATTCCTCATGATCTTGCCTCTCATCCCTTCTGCTTCATTTCATGCAATTCAAATAAAACACTGAGATGAAGATGCTCATGTTTATTTTTAAAGAGAGCTTAGGGTCCATCAGAAAGAAAAAGTGAGCTGGAAGTTGACACTTAGCATTATATATTTTACCTTTATATATTTTGGCGACCTCAGATTTACATAATGCCTATAAACAAAAAATAAATAGACTTGTTTCCAGCTGTGCCAGTCTATTGTAATAAAAACAACCAAGGTGCCTGTGGCATCACAAAGACCACTCATCCATTATCATAGGAGCTTAATATTTTGAAAAATAATAATATAAGCCCATAAATAGTAGTTTGTGTCTTGTGAAAGAGAATAAGAAGGATAACAGGATGAAATGAAAAAAGAAAAGAAGGGTGAAATTGCATAAAGTTGCAGGAGTGATATAACACTTTTGATAGTTAACATATTATTGGGTCAGAAACTTTGGTCTGTTCATAATCTGTAAAATCTGTAATCTGTAAAAATGGTGTTGAATTTATTAATGAATTTATTATTGAATGTTTTGCATTTTTTTGTCTTTGAAAGTTCTTGAGATATAAAATATAGAAATGTTTTCTCTTGCTTTAAGAATATTGTCATTTCTGATATCAGATTTGTAACCATGTCTTCTGTTGAGTGGAGTGTGGGCATCTTGTTCTATGGAAAGGGGACAGAAAGTGGTGTATATTGCTGATAGGCTGTCAGCTTTGGAAGCCATATTAGGCCGGAACCTTCCATGCTGCCACCTTCTCATGTGTGGGAAAGTAGGAGGGGGATTTAGTAGAGGGATTGTCTTTAGACATAATAGCGTTCTTCCTGTCAGTCAAAGTCAGGCCGATCCTGCATCTGGAGAAGCAGTGGTCGGAGTGCTGTCTCGAGATGGGACCAGGGGTGGGTTCTACTTACCTTTACTACCAGTTTGCATCGTGTTTCTTTCCTGGGTCTGCCTCATAAGGATTATTTCTGGGAACCAGTATAGATAGCACTGTTCATCTTTTTTAAAATATTCATTGGCTGAGTGCTGTTGTTTGAGGAAGACCTGTTTTAAAGCCCTTAATTGTGTACCACTGTTGATGACTCCAATATTTGCATCAGGTTGCATCATGGGGCTTGGCCATATGCAGTATGTTTGGGGTTGTATTCTAAATGGGGGCTGGCAGCATGTATGGTAGTCCTCTATTTACAACCATTTGTTTAGTGACCATTCAAAGTTGCAAGAGCACTGAAAAAAGTGACTTATGACCATTTTTCACACAACCATTGCAGCATCCCCACAGTCATGTAATCAAAATTCAGATGCTTGGAAACTGGCATGTATTTATGACGGTTGCAGTGTCCCAGGGTCATGTGATCACCTTTTGTGACCTTCTGAAAAGCAAAATCAATAGGGAAGCCAGATTCACTTAACAACCATGTTATTAACTTAATGACAGTGATTCACTTAACAACTATGGTGAGAAATGTCATAAAATGGAACAAAACTCAATAATTGTCTTGTTTAGCAATAGAAATTTTGAGTTCAATTGTGGCCATAAGTCAAGGACTATTGTAGTCACTTGCCTTCCTAAGTACTGTACCTTTTGGATCTGCCATATCATCATTCAAAGAGTGGTAAGTGGTGGTGCAATAACAAACTGTCCTAGTATTATTTACCCAGGCAAGCTGAGGCCCCACAGGAAGTGAATAAAACTAAAATTCTCTCTTTCCTATCACATATGATTGCTATCTCACTTCGATCTAGAACCTGGTGAAATCATTCATTCGTTTGTCCTTTCTTTTCTCTTTTCTTTAATTTGCAGATGTGAAGTCCACTGCAGAGACACTGAAGCCCACATTGAAGAGTGAGGAGCTGACCACTCAGTTTTCCACTGATGAAGAAGCAACAGATTGTGGTGATAGTTGTGTGGAGAATGGAGGTATTTCCTTAGCCAGTGAAAACATATCGTATGTCACGCAAGATGTGCAAAGTGTGTTATAGAGCTGCACACATAAATATTTGTGTGATCAAGGACCTTATTAATTGCCGCTTTGAAGTTTTCAAACTCTATTCAGCAAGGGGAGGGGAAAAACCCTCAGTACAAGTAGGTAGATGGCATTTTAACAGGCTTCAGCATAGAACTTTTATGTCAGGAGTGGGAAATCTAGAGTTTTCCAGATTTTTTTATAATTAGGAAGGCTGGTGGGAATTTTTTGGGAGTTGAAAGAGAGATAATCAGAGAGTTCTTGATTATCTTCACCAATGGTCTGACCATGCTGAGTTCAAGAGAGAGTTATTACTTCTCGTTTGGACCCTAAGAGTCATTATGTCATCAAACCTGTGGAGTGTATTCAGGCCTTGACTGCCTGCTTTCCTGCAACGCCTCTTTCACTCCCTAGCCAAACTGTCTTCTATTGTCGTTCACACCATTTATCCCCACCCATTCAGGTTGTAGGCAACAGCCATCCCAGCTCTGTCTACTGCAGGGGTCTCCAACCATGGCAACTTTAAGACTTGTGGACTTCAACACCCAGAGTTCCTCAGCCAGCAAAGCTGGCTGAAGAACTCTGGAAGTTGAAGTCCACAAATCTTAAAGTTGCCAAGATTGGAGACTCCTGGTCTACTGCATGAATATAGTCCATCCAAGGGGCCAGAGCACATGTCACTTTTGCCCTGTTGATCCCCTCCCAAATGGCTTTCCTTAAGATCACTCACCCCATCATTTGCCTGATATTGCTGAGTATGTTATATCTGAGGTACCACATATGAAGTAGTAAATAGCCATACTGTTTGCTTTCATCTCCTACTCATTTTCTTTTCCCAAGGAAGACTAAACATCTCAAATGACAAGCAGTGGCAGCATCCCTATTCCATGGCAAGGGGTGATAGATATCTGTGCTGTTGTTTTGCTCTGTCCCTGTGGCTGGTGTTTTAATGTTAGGACTGCAAATCCCTTGAAAGAGGTGCTTCATAATAATAAGAACATTATGAAGCGGTTCTTTTTGAATCCTTGGATTTACTGCCTCTCTTTCCAAGCTCAAGCAGCTATATGACCTTGGAAGATGATCATGTCCTTTCAGGATTTGGAAAAAAAGAAAGAAAGATATTTTCTACCATGTCCTTTCATTCCATAGCACCTCTTTCAAAGGATTTTCATGACCCTGTAATGTAATGTAATAGCAATAGCACTTAGACTTATATACCGCTTTACAATGCTTTATAGCCCTCTCTAAGCAGTTTATAGAGTCAGCATATTGCCCCCGACAATCTGGGTCCTCATTTTACCCACCTCGGAAGGATGGAAAGCTGAGTCAACCTTGAGGCTGGTGAGATTCGATCTGCCAAACTGCTGGCAGCCGGTGATCAGCAGACGTAGCCTGTAGTACTGTACTCTAACCACAGCGCCACTGCGGCTCTTAATACAGATAGTCCTCAACTTACAACAGTTCATTTAGTGACCGTTCAAAGTTACAACAGCACTGAAAAAAGTGACTTATGATTGTTTTACACACGCCTGTTGCAGCATCCCCTTGGTCACATGATACGGATGCTTGGCAACTGATTCACATTTATGACAGTTGCAGTGTCATGTGATCAGCTTTTGTGAATTTCTGACACATCAATGGGGAAACCAAATTCACTTAGCAACCATGTTACTAACTTCACATCTGCAATGATTCACTTAACAGCTGTAGCAAGAAAGGATGTAAAATGGGGAAAAACTCGCTTAACAAATGTTCACTTAGCAACATAAATTTTGAGCTCAGTTGTCGTAAGTCAAGGACTACCTGTATGTGCATTCCCTCCCACCTTTCCATCTCTTTGGCTAGAAGAGAATAAACAATTCTCTGATGTCAGTGAGTTAGAAGCCACTTATAGGGATTGTTTGGCTATTCCAGTTGTATTGTTGTCAGTAATGAGTTTGCAGCTAAGTGATTGTTCTTGCTTCTCCCTCATTCTTAGCCAAGAAATCTCAGAACTGCAGAATGATATTATTAGTGACAGGCCAAACTCTATAGAGGCTTGATCAGAAGTCTGATCTTATTTAATAGCAAGGAGCGAGTTACTTCACAAAACATTACATTGATTTATTGTAATGTTAAAAGTGGTTTCAGGGGAACTGCCTGATATATGGATACTTAAGCAATATCCATACTGAAGTATCCAGAAATAACCTTGAGTAGCTTCAGATAAAATGTTCTCTCCCTCCCTTCTTTCATCATTTTTTCAAATAGTGAGGAAGCATCTGCTTGTTTCAACTTAACCTTCTTTCAGACATGCTGATTTTCAGATAAGCAGTTAGCCTTTGGAAAATTCACCTGGAATTTCAAATAATCTAACTAAACATTATACAGTGCATTGATGAATTTCTACTTCATCATGGATTACACTAATTACAACCTCTGTGCTTTTTATTTTGATTTAGCTGTGATTTTTAATATCAAAATAAACAATTGTATGGTTTATGTATAATTTTCTTCCTTTGTGTTTTTATAATAATTTTATTAAATTATATTTACAACAGTAAAAACTAATATAAATTGAAAAAAAATAAAAGTAAAACAAAAAGTAAAAGTGCAGAAAAGAAAGAAAAAAGAGGGAAAGAAAAGGGAAATAGAATAAAATAAGAATATAGTTGTTAGAAGATTAATTTGGGGGTTACACTAACTGGGGTGGTGGAAGAACAAATTAAAAATGAAATCTAGACTAATTGTGAGAAAGGAGATCCATTTATTTCCCAAAGCAAAAGGGTTTGGTGGGGGTAGGTTACAGAAAAAATGGGGTCCAGAGATTTTGGCTTTATAGGGGGACTGGTCCTTGGTATGTGACCTCAGGGGAAGTGGTTTGTGTATATGCTGGTATATGCTGGTTTTAGTGTGTGACTTTGTCAATAGGCAATTCTCTTTCCTGGGCAGATTGAGGTGCTCCTGCCCTGGGCTTTGATTCTGTGTGTGTGAAATCCATAAAACCGGTCCCCAACCCCCAGTCCATGAACTGGTACCAGGCTGTGGCATGCCAGCAACCAGTCTGCACAAACAAGCGAAGGCCCATCAGCAGAATGCAGGGAGCATGCAAAAGCCCACCTTCTCCAGTCAATGGAAAAACCTTTCGCCATGGAAACAGTCCCTGGTGCCCAAAAGGTTGAAGGCCACTGCCATAAAGGAAGATCGCTCTCAGATATGTAGATTCCTCCCTAAGTGTGGATTTATTATGAGGGGATCTGGCATCTTCCTTATCCTGAGGGGATTCCTGCCCTGGAGCCAGTGAGATGCTAGTCTAAGTGTTAGGATTGTATGTTTATTCCCAGGTTGGTTGGCCATTCAAAGGGCTGCTAAAAGTGTGTGTGTGTGTGTGTGTGTGTGTGTGTGTGTGTGTGTGTGTCTAGCAGATTAACTTCCAACATAGAAAAGAAAAAGAAATAAAGAAATGACTTCCCACCTTCATCATAAATTAAAAACAATTTTAATAACTTATCACCTTCGCTTAAATTATATGACTTCCTTTCATATCCCATCTCTTATCAAACAAATCTATAAAGCCTTGTCATTTTAGTCTTGATGTCAGTAAAAGTCCATTAAGGATTACCAGAGATAAGAATTTATCTATTTTTAACCTTGATCAAATAAACACGTTTTATATTTCATCTCTTTACTTCTAATAATCTTGATCTTTTAGTCCCCTCAAATAATATCATAGAACTTGATTTCTTTTCAGTTTTTCTTTGTTCCTTCTCATAAAATTCTTTAAAACTTTAACAAGCCTCTTTTATAAATACAATATAGCAAAGTTATTCAGGTCACTCTGTTGATTTGTTATTTGTATATCCTTTTTAATTATTAAGACATCAGCTAGTTTCTTTTGCATGTCCAATATAACTTTTTTAACCATGTCATTCTTGTAGTGTATCATTTTTAAATCCACTTTCAACTCTGTTTCAAACTTGTGAGGTAGAATTTGTTCCTCTTCCATAACATCTTTGTAGCACTGCCCTTGAAAGGGCCAGTAGAGACAGGGTTCCTTGGTCCCCTTCTCCAGGCAATTTGGCTCTTCCCCACTCTCAGTCGTATCCTTTGCCTTGTGTCATTTGACTGGTGCCCCAAAGTCTCTATCACTGTCTCTTGTTTAGGCAACTGCTCACTTCCAGTCAGTTTCACATATGCCCCACTCACTCAGCTCGCCTCCACCATCCATGGACTCGACGGTCCTGCTGTTTTTGCCTTGACTTGTCTGCTGCAGGTTCGCCCGCACCTCTGCCTCGTCCAGTTCATCTGGCTCCACCTCTTCTCACCTATTGCCCTACTCACCTGGCTCGGTTGTGTGCTGCCTAGTCTGGCTCCGCTGCTCTCACCTTTGCGCCTGGCTCCACAATGCGTTTGCTCATCCAGCTCCACTGCTCTCACCGCCACACCTGGCTCCGCTGCACACTTGTTCATTCGACTCCGCTGCCCTCACCTCATTCACCTTTATTGTTTTTCTGGGTAACCCTCGCCACATGGGGATGGCAGCCATTGGGTTGGCTGTTAGGTCTCTTCCTGCCTCTCCCTCTCCTCTCATACTCTCTCATGCCTTCCTAAAATCTCTCTCCCCCCCCCCCCCACTCTCTCTCTCAAACACACACGCACACTTTTGGTTTGGCTGCTATTCTTTCACTCTGCTTTTGGCTTTTCTCTTCCCCCCACTCTGCTATAATCCGGTTCTCCTTCATTCTCCTTCCTCCTCCTTCACCTCCTCCCCTTCTCCTTTTCAGTCTGTCATTGTTTTCTCTCTTCCCACCATGTGTCCCCCTTTTTAACCCCTCTTTGTCCCTTCCCCTCAAATTTTTGGTGATACCCCCCACTCCTAGTATGAGGATATCCGGCTGCTGGTGGAGCACTATCATCTGAGGGACAGCTACATATTTCCCCTGCCCAAGAGTCTTTGATCCCCCAAAGAGCGGCG